CACAAAAAAATAGAATTAAATGTTGGCATTTACATAAATTTTACTTATGATTTCTACTTTCAAATATTTCGTCGAACTCTTTGAAATTCAAAAAAAATCTCAATCAAAAAGCTTGAAAATCTAGAACCAATTTTTTTTCGTTAAAAGTGAGGAATTCCTTTAGGTTATAATAATGAACAACAGATGGTACTGCCGATATGAACATATATTTATTATACTTTAATTACTTACTATTATTTCTTATAGCAAAGTATTGATTATAATCAAATATTTAGTCAAAGATTAAGAATCCATTGATTAATAAAACTATTTGGTTAAATATAACGATTCTTCATATATTTGTGTCCAATAACTATTGTAATTTTCAAGTATACATAAATAAGTTTAATTCTCCTATGAAAAATTCAAACATTCATAAAAAATAGTAGTATAAAGTAATAATAATAATCTTAATTAGTCACAATTGTAATCAAAGGGCTATCGACCTAAATCTTTCGACCCTAATTATTATTGATGATGAGAAACGATTATATTTAAAGATGGTTACAACATGACGAGTTGTAATATTACTCAAAGTTTTAAACCTTTCAAAAAAAAATTGTATATTCAGTAAGAGTATATATGTACAATAGCTAACAATTACTGTACTACACTTGCATTTCAATTATTTTAATTAGTATTAAAAGCAAATCAATAAATAATTTAATTTAGCGCTATGAATTATTAACACTTTTAATATTTTTTAATTATTTCAATACTTTAAGTAAATTCAATCTTCCCATTTCTTTAGATCTCGAATTAGAAAAATGATCATCATTACGATTTTGTTGATTTTTAATTCTATTGGGTTGGCAACTAACTGATTGCTAATTTTGACACATTTGGTCGTAGCATATTCTTTTGTTTTGTCAACGTGTTCCTAACATATTGTATTTCTGCTGTTTGGACTTCCACTTTTAAATTAGTAAAAAAAAAAATGTATCGTTTAGTTTTGTTTTTATCCCAATTTAAAAATGGATTACGCATTTCAGACATATTTTATTGTATTATGAACGCAAGCACACAAGAAGTTAGGTACCATATATGAGAATGAAACCTTGAAAGAAAGGTAGTTGGTTTGTCAAATTACGTTCTTGTGATTTTTGACTGAAAAACTAATTATCTTTAAGTGAATGTCAAATAACTACTATAATACAACTAATTACATAAAACATATCAATGGTACTCAGTAGTTACGCCATCTCTTGGTTACGAATTATCTAAAAAAAATTAAAAAAAAAATATAAAATTTTAAATTTCTTTGCAATCATCGAATTGATAATGAAGGATAATCGCGTCTTCTGCGGACGAAACGAAATGTAAGTACCTAATTTATTGGATGGAAAGGGAATGCAGAGGCAATTAACGGGATTAATATTTCAAGTTAAATTCCTTCGCTCAATTGGAAATTTATTCCCAAGCATCTCAGGCAGTCGGTGTAAGTAAGTGGTAGTATTAGTTGAGTAGTCTTTCAGGAGTTTCAGTCGGGAGGACAAGAGACCCTGCAGGCGGCTTTGATTCTTGTGCCGCTGTTGTACGAAACGGGATGGCGGAGGGCGGTTGTAGGGCACAGCCAGGTTAATTTAGGTAAATTTGATTAGGGAATTGGCGAGCGAACGAGAGCGAGAGAGAAGGATCGAGAGGTATTTACTAAAACAGAGAGAGAGAGAACTGAATCGAAGTTGGTATGCCCTGGGGGGAATTTTAATTACGCCTCCCGTGCGCCCGGCAATAATAATGAGAGAGAGGGAGGAAGGGATGAGAAAACCGTGTAAAATGGAAAACTGCTAATGAGGTAGTTGTTGATGGTAATTAAACCGCCGGGAAAGATCGCAAAGGTGGCGCCACCTGTTCTCAAGCGCTCGCTCGAGCGGCATCCAATTTTGGTTTAGGTTGTTTTTGTTTTGTTTTGTTATTTTTTTTCGTTTGTTTGCGCAAATTGTTCTTCGATCATCTGGTTTGGTGTAATGGTCGAAACCATTAGTGGGTGGCCTTATCGATGGTGGCACAGGCGCTAATTATGTCCGGTCGGGCGGCTACAAATAGCGAACGACCATCCAGATCCGCCGGCAGTGAAAAATGACCGGATCGCTGATAATAATCGCACTTCTCCTCCTGCTGCAGACAACATCGGCCAGGGTAATCGAAACAATTACATTCAAAAACGAGATGCAGCATTAATGCGCTCTGTTCTCTTTTTTTTTTTGCAGTGGAATTTGTTTTTGGAAAAATTCGAAGCGTGTCCAGGCACACAGAACACGAATATTATCTACAAGGAATCTAATATCAGTTACCATGACAACGGTGATCTTTACATGGACCAGAACATCGTCGTCAGGCAAGACGTACATGATCCCATCGAGGTTGTCATAACATCAAAAAATATTATTACATTTTTTATAATGATTACATTCATTAGGTGGTTTGGAATATCGACAAATGCGCCAGCAAGGAGAAACTGGACACGTGCATGTCCTTCTACAAATTCAAATCATCCAGATACTGCAGGTTTGTGAAAGCTAAAAACGAAATCTGGTCAAGTTTCATCAATTGCATAACACCCGCCTGGCAATGTCCGCTATTAAAGGTAAATTTACATCTTAATCTGTTCTTCTTAATAATAGTTCGTTTTTTTTTAGGGTGAATATAAGGCAAGAAATTGCACATTCGATTTGTCACTATTTAGGCTGTTTCCGCTTCCTGGCAGCTACTGGCGATGTCAGATAACTTTGAATTCCCTCAACAAGCGCAAAACTATGAGGGCTTGTGTTACTATGGAAGGCGGCGTGAGAAAATAACTGTTCAAAACAACCAAATTGAAGTAACAAGAAAATAATTACATCAATTTGCAGCATAATATAAAAAAATAATGATACCAAAACTTACTACAATTTAGAATCCGCTGTTATCATTTTCTGTTAATTACCCATTTTCTCTTTTATTTTATATTTTAAGCATGAAATATTATTTATAATAAATACAAAAAAAATATCTTGTTTTATTTTCGTTCTGAAATTATGAATACGACATTTCTCATGTCAAGTTTAACTTTCCAAAATAAATCGCTTTTCAGTGTCCAATCTTCCGACATTGAAATGAATGAGGTTGGACCTTAAGTCAAGTCGATGGACAATGACAGTGGTAAGGATAGCAGCCGATTCACAGTCAAAGGAAGTAGTGGAATCGCAGAGCATCAATAAACTACTACAGTTAAGCTACAAGACGAAAAATATCAATCAGAGAAATATAATTTGTATTGTAGAGTAAATAAGTTCCAAACTCGTATTATGTAAAGTTTACTTAAGTCATATCAAGTTAAGTAACTTAAAATAAGTCAACTTATATTAAGTCATCTTAAATTAAGTACACTTAATATAAGCCATCTTATGTTAAGTATACTTAAATTAAGTCAACTTATAAGTATACTAATTAAGTCATCTTAAATTAAGTATACTTAATATAAGCCATCTTATGTTAAGTATACTTAAATTAAGTCAATTTAACTTTAAATTAAGTATACTTAATATAAGCCATCTTATGTTAAGTATACTTAAATTAAGTCATCTTAAATTAAGTATACTTAATTAAGCATCTTAGTTAAGTATACTTAAATTAAGTCAACTTATATTAAGTCTCTTAAATTAAGTACACTTAATATAAGCCATCTTATGTTAAGTATACTTAAATTAAGTCAACTTATATTAAGTCGTCTTAAATTAAGTATACATTAATATATAAGCCATCTTATGTTAAGTATAACTTAAATTAAGTCATTCTTAAATTAAGTATACGACATAAGTATATAAGCCATCTTATGTTAGGTATACTTAAATTAAGTCAACTTATCTTAAGTATACTGAAAATAAGTCAACTTATATTAAGTCATCTTAAATTAAGTATACGACATAAGTATATAAGCCATCTTATGTTAAGTATACTTAAATTAAGTCATTTTATGTGAAGTATACATTCATTAAGTCATTTTATATTAAGGGCGACTAATAATTTCGTGGGCGCCGGTTCGAATCCTGGTCAAGCTAGGCCCTTTGTGAGCCCTCTCGGTGTTTGCAGCAATAAGGCCATCGTTCATCACAGATGAACAGACAAATGAATGAGGTTCAGCATATGGACCTTCAGCCAAGTCGATGAACAATGATAATATTAAGGATAGCAGCAGATTCACAGTCAAAGTAAATAGTGGAATCGCAGAGCATCAATATACTACTGAAGTTAACCTACAAGACGACAGCCAACCAACAAATTAAGATCAAATCATCATAATTACCTACCTAATGTTAACCGCGATCTTAAATTTACTCAATGTTCACATTGATGAACAGATTGTGAATAAAAATTATACGACATAAAAACAATGTGACTGTTAATTTTTTTATTCCCATTTATTTTTACTTTTAAGTTTGTTTTTCTGTTACGAAACATTTTTTACCTCTTTCCGACATTCGACATTCTGCCATTGTTCGAATTATACCATATATTCTGTATGTTCATTTTAACCTTAACTTTAAGTTTAAGTTTAACTATTATAACATTTGATTATGATTTGCTTACTATTGAGATAAAAACAATATTAAATATTAAAAATAGTTCTTTTTTAAAAGATTACTACTTCTAAGAGATTCCACAGTCTTTTGATGAAATTTAAGATACCTAAATTAAAATTTACTATGAAATAATTTATAAATGACATTCAATTTCTTTTATATTTTATAATATAATTTTATAATATTCAAGACTTTAATGAGATTATAGCTTAATGAGTATAGAAGAAAATATAACAAAATCTATAAAGATATTGTTACAAATAAATTTCATTATATTTTTAACCGTCTATTCAAGATATTAATGAGATTTTAACATAATTACTTGAACAAAGCATAATTATAATTTGTTTACTATCCAAGAAAAATCTAAATGGTTTAGAAACAAATAATTAAACTTACCGATGTTCAAGTAATAGACGGTTGGTGAAGCCGCCATCGGCTGCCGTCTCTCACAAATTGTCCGTCAACATATCTGAAAAAAATAGAACTAAAATTAAATATAATAATACACTTGGTTCTCTTTTTATGCGGTAGATACGTTCCACAGGAAAACGCATAAAAATAAATCGCACAAAAAAGGACTAGACACACGTATAAAAATAAAGGATACGTTCCATATTTTTTAAAACTAAATCAATGAGTTACAATATACCGCATAAATCGCAATAAATAAATCGCATAAAAAACGGTTTACTTCATTCTGAAATGTTTATTCATAATTTTATAAAAAGGTTCACAGTCATAGACAAGTATATTAAATTTCAGAAAAATATAATCTTAACATATTTCTTCTAAATTTATACAGAAAAAATTTACAAAAAAGTCAACACAGTCAAAAGAAATATTGATGTTCATATACTACAGAAGTTAAGTTACAAGACGAAAAATATCAAGCAGAAAAATATAATTTGTATTGTAGAGTAAATAAGTTCCAAACTCGTATTATGTAAAGTTTACTTAAGTCATATCAAGTTAAGTAACTTAAAATAAGTAATCTTAGGTTAAGTATACTTAAATTAAGTCAACTAATCTTAAGTATACTGAAAATAAGTCAACTTATTATTAAGTCATCTTATATTAAGTTATCTTAGGTTAAGTATACTTAAATTAAGTCAACTTATCTTAAGTATACTGAAATTAAGTCATCTTAAATTAAGTATACTTAATATAAGCCATCTTATGTTAAGTATACTTAAATTAAGTCATTTTATGTTAATTATACATTAATAAAAAAAAATACAGAAATTTTTTATAAAAGTTAATCTTTCTTCACATTTTTTTTCTTTAGAATTATATGAGTTATATGAGAGTGTTCGGCATAATTTGCGAACTGATTCGAAATTACTTACATCACTAGAAGAGATAGTCAGCATATCAGATCTATGTCCTGAAGATGATGATTCTTCACAAATAAAATTAGTCTCAACTTCGCATGTTGATTTTTTCCCTTTGACAATATAATCAGTGATTGAACTTTGCGATGGTTTTGCTATTTTTTGTACAATTCCTGATATCCAGATATGCAATTCTGAAGCTCGTGTTGAAATTTGAATGCTCGTTCAGAATTATCATCTTTTTCGATGAAATGGTTTGCCAATTTGTGTCAAAACGTGTCAAAATGACCTAAAATAGTTATTTAAAAAAAAGCATGTATCAATTTTTTCATATATTTAATATGAATTCATATATTTAATATGAATATTTAATGAATTGCTGTTTAAATCAATTTAAACACTATAAACGTGTTCAATTTTATCATGCAATAGTAATTAACAATTTTTTTAAAGAAAATTAATGTTTTTTTAAATCCAACTGGACTTATATTGTTCGGTTCATGCGTTTTAAACCTCATTCAGCATATTTTATAATTTCTTAAGAATAATATTTTTCGCTTCTATTTCTTTTGACTTTATCTGGTTTACGATGTTGTTTTTAAGGCATTACCTAATATCTAATAAAGAACAATGCACACTGAAGTCGTAATAATCAATAATAATTGCAATTATAAAGTTGTTGTTAAATCTATTGTTTTGTTTCACTTGGCGCTACTTTCTGTTGCAACCCATTTTTTTTTATTTGTCTTCAATTTGATAACCCAATAAATTATTTCCTAAATTGTTCATTATTACTTATTAAATTACTTAAATCTCAGTTTAATTTGTATAGAATTTAAATAATTGGGAAATGTACGTGCATATTAATTAAATGTACTAATAACTAGGAAATATGTAATTACTAATAATTGAAATGAATTAAATCCGAATGTTATTATTGTTTCCTGTAAAGTTATAATCGTTTCCAAGGTAATCTCAAAAAATGGGTTAGTCATCATTGTCTCATTGTTTTCGCGTGGTGAAACTTGCGGATGAGAACCGTGCACTCTTTCTCTGGGTCTCTATTATAATTTTAACCCAAATGCAATGAGAAAACAACAAATTTTCTTTTTTTCTTTTCTACTTCTACTTCTTTTTGTTTTTTTCGTATTGGAATTTAATAACGATCGTCGTCGCAGCTGCGCTTCTATTCTCTTACAATCCGCAGGCTTCCGAGATTGAAAAGCAATTCGCATTCTTTCACAAAGGCAAAAATTAATGTTCAATTACTACTCGATTGATCGACCGATTGAAGACACTTTTGCAGCAGCTTCATTTTTCGTATTACACTATTAGAGAGGCATGGAAATGCATCATCGAATGAACGAGTGAGTGAATGTTAATCATGCGTTGAGACTATTATTTGCCTTCCTGGAACTGACTGAACTTGGGTCTGACTAGTTTTGTTTTCGCTGCTTGTAAACCAGCTCTTCCTGTCCGATGCCCCCTCGGATGCGGATTACGAGATTAGGAGCAGAACGCTCTGCTAACCGTTCGAATCCAATAACAATTACAGCAATAACAACAATAAAACATTTACATTTATTTATGTTTAACTTCACCTAATTAGTGTATTCAACTTGTATCGTATATAATACTACATAAATCTTTAAAGAGAGATTAAATAATCACATTAACATAGATTATGGTGTTAAAATTAGATGTTAAAGGCGGATTGTTTTATTGGATAATGTTATTAATATTTTTTGTTGTTGTTGTTTGTTTCAGCTTTTGGTGATGTGCTGGACTGCCGATGGAAACGTCGCCGTGATGTGAAGGCGCGGGAGAGAGAGAAAGATCTCAGAGTTGTGATAATAGTAACATGTAAAAGGAAACGTAATTACAATATCGAGGTCGTCGCCGTAGTAGAGAGATATAGAGTCTCCGCCGTGTTCGGATGCTGATCTGATTTCGTGTTTTGTTCGTGAAAAGTGGTGTTTAGCAGCAGCAGCAACGGAATCATCTGGTTCTTAGTTTCTACTACATTACGATGCTGTCGTACATGCTACCAGTGGATGAGAAGCCGCCTCCGGGGCCGGGGAAGGCTCACCACCTGCAGCTCAGTTTGGAGCCCGTTATCAGCAACGGTCGCAATACCAGCAATTCCACATCCTCGGCCGGCGCCGCCTCCATCACAACCTCCTCGTGCATCAGCAAGGAGAACAGCATCAGCAGCTTCGCAAGTGATGCCACCACGATGACGGCCAGCCAAAGCTCTGCCACTCCGACGAGCATCGGCACAGACAGACCCACCAAACCCAAGCTACTCATGAACGGAAAACATCAAAGTTTGAAAAGGTAAAACACCCTTTGACCTTAATTATATCTTTGAAATTCAACAGCATTAGATGCCAAGTAATTAGTCAATATATAATTTAATTGAGCTTTTAATTATTTTCTTTATTAATATTTTCCAATTAAACTATTATTTTGGACGCTTTATTAATAATTTGTAATATTTATAGAAATGCAAATTATTTATACTTGTATTAAAATTAATAAGTATTTATTATCTGAAGATTATGTTAGAGTACTTTTTTATAATTTAAAAAGTATTTTATATTTTAAACAAATTAATGAAGTATGTAAATATGAGAAGTAAAAATCTCATTTAAGCTTTTATAAAAACAATGCGCATTTCAATTACGTTCGAGAATCTTTGGATCTTTGGATTCAGATCGGATCTTTGTGTGTGAAGTCTTGTGATGGATCAATTTAACGGACGTAATCGCAATTACTTTTTTATAATTTAAAAAGTACCGGTTATATGTTTAATATTTAACTCTTTGAGTATCGGTGGTAAACATATTGGTACACATGCTTAGTAGTATCTTAATTTTCTAGAAAATTCCCAGGAAACAGGAATTACCACCTTTTTTGTCTGGCCCCACTTTGATCTAGAAATTTATGAATTTCTGGTCCTTCGAAGAGTTAAACCTTTTTGGGTAATTTTTGACCTACTTAATCAATAAAAAACAACTTGAATCATGTATGTATTTTTCATCCATCTTAAACTGTCTTTAAAAAAATCACTTCTTCACAAGCATTCATCCGATATGTTGAATGAAAGTTATTTTTAATCTTTTGATTGATGCGACTTCGAGATTAAAGAAAATAAAGTGGTCGCTCTCGAGGATCTTCTCAACAGGTGTAAGATTTTATTTAAGTCCAAGACTCCTTTTCTCCTCTTCCCACAGCGCTGGATATATTTTTATATTCTTTTCTTTGCTCTTTTGCTGTTGCTGTTGTTGTTATTTTTTTTTCTTTTTCCTATTTCATTCTACGTTACTCTTATTTTCGGTACTGGTGAAAAATTGTAAACAAAGCGCGAGACCTATACTTAGCGCAGGCCAAAAAACCGAAATAGATTTTCTTTACCCGCGGGAAATAAATAAGATCGTCGTGAGGCGCAGAAAGTATCAACAAAAATCGTGTCCGCATTTGCCCTCATAAATATGAAATATCTTTGATTTCTTAAAGATCGTCAAAAGCAAAACGAAAACTTCACATCCTCCAAAAAACAAAAATAGATTTAAAAATCCAAGACTCTAATACTTGCAAAATGTTCGTTAGTTCGTGGAAATGGAAACGTGATTTTCTTTTATTGCTAGTATTATTGAACCTTGCCAATAATAAAAGAAAATCCAAATATACTCGTTCTCCTTTTGCTCGAATGTAAAAATTTTTTGAATGTTAAATCCCTAGAGAAGAAATTTTGGTTAGAAACATTTAAAAATTTGATATTTTACCAAAAATAAAAATTTACAATGTTAAATCCATAGAGAAGAAATTCTGGTTAAAAACATTTAAAAATTTTGATATTTTACAAGCTGTAGATTGTGAACATATTTTTTTTTTCTTCAAAAATGGAATGTTTCCAGAAAAAGAAATATAATTTTTAACTGCTTTCGTTTACATTCAAGCAAAAATGTAAATAATTAAGATCAACACGTTTCAATACATTTTTAGTTATTTTTTTTGTATTAATGTATTTTACGAATAAGAATAAAAGTGTTTTTTTTTTATTATAAAGTTGATTGAGAAAAATAATTGAAGGTAAAGTAATTAATTGATCAAACGAAAACAATTGAAGATTAGATTAGAATACTCCCAACTTTCCTTTCCTTCTGCCATAACATTATCTGAAAATCATGTTGCTAAAGTTAACAAATAACGTTTTAAACAAATTAATGAAGTATGAAAATATGAGAAGTAAAAATCTCATTTAAGCTTTTATAAAAAACAATGCGCATTTCAATTACGTTTGAGAAGTGAATCCAAAGATGTGTGTGAAGTCTTGTGATGGATCAATTTAACGGTCGCAATTGCTTCACACAGGGCTTTGTCTCAATTCATCATCTTCCACGGAAATTAATCTAATTAAGGTTAATTAATTGCTGCCGATAAGACCATTCATTACATAAGCTATTACCTCACTAATAATAGTCGCTCCGTTTCAATTATTAAAACAACGACACGAAAACCAACCGCATAAGCGTATTGTTTTTAATAGCCTTCGCAACATTAATTAATGGTTTCGCCTTATTGATTATTATAATTACAATTAACAAATTTGTAATTGGAGGCAGGAAGACGCGGGTCTATAACCTCAATCAATCGTGATTTTGTTTCTACAAAGGATTAGTATTTAGAAGAAACCGTTTGTTCTTTCAGACAAAAAAAAATAAAATAGAAGTACGCACAATGACTTGATATTAAATTTGAAAAATAGAGGAAGAGAAAAAAGTGTACTTTCACCGAGGCCTGAGAAAGTTAAAAAGTACAGTAAGAGGTAATAGGTTAAATAGCGACGTACACAGAGAGACCTAGCCTTAATAGATCACGCTTTGTTCTTGTTGTTGTTGTTGTTGTTTGTAGGGAATATGAGGATGTGAAAAACAACAATAACAACAACAACAACAAGAAAAAAACAATATGTTGGTAATGATGAGTTGAGTGGTAATAAAGCGATCTCGTTTTGTCCAAAATGTGTTTCTCGTGCTCGGAATCGTTTCCGGTTACTTTGATTATTTTCGAAAGTCCCGCTCCTTTCCGGCCGATGTTTATGTATCTTTGTAACTTCGTGATTTAAATCATAATATCACTCAGTTCTTCATTGAAGAGAAATGATTGATGAGTTATAACAACTAGTTTGCTTAGACGTGGTAATTATTATTTTTTTAAAAAGATGAAATTTTTGAATCTTATATAAATTTAATTATTGATTTTTATTGATACCCAAGTAACGGAAAACTATTTGTATTTCTTTGCAAATTGTTGTTGTTTTAGTATAAATTATCTAATCGTCGTGTAAAACAGGCTTCAAAGATTAACCCCGTTTTTTGAAACCATAGTAATTATATCACTTTATATCAGCGAAATTGAGAGCACACATTCTCATGTCGAAAATATGTAAAAAAAAATACAATAAATTCAAATTAAAAATTATAAATTCTATACAATTTGTTATTCTTGATGTGAAATTATTTCTAACTGTCGTTGGGGATAATATGCAGATCATTATAATATTATTAAAATTGTTGATTTATTATCAGTAAGCTAAAAATAAGAAAACAACTTTTTTAATTTCTGAAAACAACTGATTACGAAACACTATGACCGACTAATTACGCTAGAAATATTCGAAATTTCAATATTAACATAATATTGGTCATATTTATTTTATTATAAATTTATTTTATATTGAATTTGTGATATGCAGGGAGATCTTTACTATTAGGATATACAGGAGAAATCGTGACATTTACACGTTGTGTAATAAAACTGCAACGTGAATTCACCATTAACCCGGTTTATAAATGCGAGCGTATTTTCTCGTATTTTTACATGTTAGCAACTTTGAAACGTATTTTTTGATGATTTTAATCCCCTTAGGTTTGTTAACCCATCCATACTGAACTTCAACAGTTTTCGTCATTCAATTTGCAATTATTTTAACTGTTGGTAATTACTCCTAGATTCAACTTTTAACGATGTTCAGCATGGAGTGTTTTCTCGCGGCGAGGGCGAAGTTGAGCAAGTTGAAGAAGCTGGAGGTCCTTGGTGAAGGGGTTTATGGTGTAGTTTTTAAAGCGCAAAACGATGTGACTGGGGAGATTGTTGCCATAAAGCAGATCAAAGATTTTGGAAATGATGAGGCTGGTATAGCTGTGACGACGATGAGAGAGATCAACGCTCTGAAGTACCTCAGACATCATAACGTGATACAGCTGAAGGATGTCCTCTGCGCGGGATACAAATCATTTTTTATGGTGTTCGAATACTTTGGAATAGATTTAAAATTGTATTTAACTAGGGTTCCCTGCAAACCAGACGAGATGTTGGTGAAGAGCTACACCAAGCAGTTGATGGAAGCGTTGGCCTTCATTCATTCCAACCGAGTGATGCATAGAGATGTCAAACCGCAGAACGTTTTAGTCGATAGCGAGGGCAATCTTAAGTTGGCAGATTTTGGCCTGTGCCGTCAATTTACGATGCCGATGAAAAATTACACGAACAAAATCGTGTCCCTCTGGTACAGAGCTCCGGAAATCCTCTTTGGTTCGACCATGTATGGACCGAAAGTAGATATTTGGGGTGCGGGATGCGTGATGGCTGAGATTATAGACTTCCAGACCTTGTTCGATGGTGTTTCAGAGATCGAACAGATTAATAAGATATGCAAGGTGCTAGGAAATCCTGATGAAGGTAATCCCATGCTGGGATGCTACGATTTTATCAATTTCAAAGCAAGCCAATTCGAGGTATATAACAATACCAAAGGTCTTGATGCTCTTATCAAATTTCATAGTCAGGAACAACTAAAGTTTCTGGAGAGCATCATAGTTTTCAACCCGCTTATAAGGAAGAGTGCAATGGAATGCCTCAGGATGGATTACCTTAAGAACGTGGAGAAGGTTTTGCCAGTGCAGTGGTGTTTCAATTAGTACTGAGCAATAAGACACAAATGAAGAAATCATTGGTTATTGTACAAAGAGCTGACGCGTTAAATGTGTGTTGAAATTCGTTGTCTACGAATGCAAAATGAAAGAACTTTCAACACATTTTAATTTGTATTATTTTTTTAGTCCTTTTTTACATATTTTATTTAGCAACTATTTTTTTAATGACAACATGCACATACTGTATTATATTTAATAATAAATATTTTTAGTGAATTTTACTTTCGCTTTGTTTTGCCCGTATCAAATGTTACGAGTTTGTGAGTATTTCTACACAATTAACAAGTAAATTTGCTAAATGTAATAATTCTCTATTGATGTTCTATGATCGAAGATTAAAACTTCTAATAAAACTATTTTTGTTGACAAGTAATTAATTGTCTTAGTTGTACTGGTATCAATTATCTATCATTATATAAAACGGGCTTCAATTATTAAATAGCATAGCTAACTATAGATGGTTGCAAACTTTTTTGCTTCTCCTTTAGTAATTATATCACTTTGAGAGCGTAATTAGTGTACGACTGCTACGAAAATTTGTAAAAATTACAATTTAATTTGATTGTATTAAATATATTTATAAATAAAAATCATAGGATCAACGCTATGGTTTATGAAAAAAAAAATAATTTAGTACAAAAATACATGACTTTTCGGAATGATAATGAAAATAAAGTAGTCTTTAGTATTTCTTAAATTATTTGCTAATGAAACAATTCAATGCTAGAAAAACTGTACAAAATTAACGTAATTTTTTGTTTCGTTACTTAACTTACAATTTATTCGTTTTTTAAATGGTTAACACAATTTTATGCGCTATTTTTGCGCTCAAATAAATACACAATATGTTTCAATTTAATTATTATATATTTACTTTATCATGACTATAAGTTATATACAGGGTGATATATATTAGCGGAGTCATTATTTGAGCTTTTTCTTTGGCAATGTTAGAAATATTAATTATTACACGGATGCTGTTTTTCATTTCTATTATTCTTTCTACATGTATTTTCTATTGCAATAAATACGGGTAGAGAAATAAAATTGCAACGGTCGTTATCTTTTTCTGTTATATTGTATTTATTAATAAACATATAATTATTTTTTGTGAAATTTATTTTTGTTTTGTTTTTGCCCGTATCAAATTTTACAAGTTTGTGAGCATCTCTACAGAATTAACAAGTAAATTTGCTAAATGTAATAATTCTCTATTGATGTTCTCTGATCGGAGATTAAAAGTTCTAATGAAACTATTTTTGTTGACAAGTAATTAGTTGTCTTAGTTGTACTGATATCAATTATCTATCATTATATAAAACGGGCTTCAAATATTAAACAACACCCCTTTTTCAAAACTAGAGATGAGATCTTTTTGCAAACTTTTCTGCTTGTCCTTTACTTATACAGTTTTATCACTTTGGGAGCGTAATTAGTGTACGACCCCTAATTGATCTCAGCGAAATTGGGAGCACACGATGAAAATTTGTAAAAATTACAATAAATACAATAAAATTAAATATATTTAAGGAAAATTATAAATTGTATTCTATTTATTTTTCAGCATATGTAATAATATACAGATCATTATAATATTGTTAAGATTGTTAAGTTCACTAAAAAACAAGAAATTTATTAAAAACAATAAAATGTAATAATTCTGTATTGATGTTCTCTGATCGGAGATTAAAAGTTCTAATAAAACTATTTTTTTTGTCAAATAATTAGTATAAACTAAAAAAAACCCCTTTTTCGAAACTATAGAGATGAGATCTGGTTGCAAACTTTTTTGCTTCTCCTTTAGTAATTATATCACTTTGGGAGCGTAATTAGTGTACGACCGCTAATTGATCTCAGCGAAATTGAAAGCACACGATGAAAATTTGTAAAAATTACAATAAATACAATAAAATTAAATATATTTAAAGAAAATTATAAATTGTATATTATTTAAATAATAATGTATTGGCCAGACATCAATACAAAAGAAAAAAGTACATTCTATAAATAAATAAATTCTAACATAAAATAAAATAAAAAATATTAATAGGTTGGTCAAAGGGTTAATGACCAAGGTCTTTCCGCCCTTATACTATTTACTTTTCAGCATATGTAATAATATACAGATCATTATAATATTGTTAAGATTGTTAAGTTGACTAAAAACAAGAAATTTATTAAAAACAATAACAAAAAAACAACTTCTTTTCAATTTCTAAAAACAAGTCCTCGCGCTTAACGAGTTGAAATGTTACAAAAAAAAATATGCCCTCCTACAAGTACAAACGGAATGATATGAAAAGAAACAAATAGATATGCAGCAAAGAAAGTAGTCTTTCTTAAATTATTTATTA